GAAAATCCAACAGACATGTTTGCACTAAAAATGGCTCATGATTCATATTTCTACATGGGTTACCAAGAGCACATCAGAGATTCCATTGCCCGTGTACTTCCTCACTGGAAAGAAGGCATGCCACTTTATGGATGAGATGGTTTTGTTTTATAGACTTACTAGTCTCCCCTGCGACTGTTCTTTGTCTTGTCACACAATGACTGTGACAAGATAAAATGGCTGCAAAGGAGGCTATGACTTAACTTGACACAGAGATGCCCAGTGGGGTAGGGACAAACGAAGAGTGTTCCCAGGGGGGTTAGCCTGCAAACACAGATGTATTTCGGGTCATCCTTTTCGGATGGAGAGAAGCAACGACCGGAAATAACGTGTGTTCACAGGCTAACAGCTAACAGGAGGTAGGGTTCAAGAGATTTTTTGGTATCCCCTTTATGCACTGACCTTCAGAAAACAAATTGAGAAATAAGAATCCTAGGGAAAAAATATCAAGAATTGTTCTTCTACTTCTACATGTGAGATATGCATCATGCATTCTGGATTACTGTATAACTTATTGGGCTCTCTTGGGTGAATAATCAATAATTTCAATCAAGTTAGAACCCACCTTGCGAAAAGACTGGGTATGCCCCTGTCAATTGGGATCATAGGTCCCATGCAACAGAAACTATAGGGGCGGTAAGTACTATTTTCCTAGTAGTTCTTCTACATGTACAGTGTATGTACCCGTAACCCCACAAGACACAACTAGGTCACTCTCTGGGCAAAGTATTAGCTATAAGAAACATCAGTTTCGACTAAATAAACGTTAATTTGTCTCATTTATACTTTAGTTACTCACATAGCAGTTGTTTTTTGTCTTTCCTGTTCGTTTTTCTCCCATATATCCCTTGTAAAAGACGAAAAAAATGCATCGTTCGATTCAAACCTGTTCAAACTGACCGCCAGTATTTGATTTAGTCTTGGTAACCAAGCCTTTTCTTCAAATCTCAGGCGCGGGCGCTAAGCAAAAAGCGTTATATTATTTGCTCAGGGATCCTATGATCAGACAACGGCGACGTCCATGAAAACGGCGTGGTTGTGAAGGTACAGCGGAGAAATTTACAAAAAAGCGTGATACACGTTGCAGAGTTGTTATTTTGCTGATTAAACCTATTGCTTTTTAGACCTTCCCGTTGCCAGTTTCGTAAGGTCCCGTCGCAAAACGTAATTCAAACCCCGGTTAGTAACGTCTGCAAAGCAGCGTCGTGATCCTTGTTTTAGTCCCCCAACGTACTCAACGAATTCCCGGAAATACGTTTCGTTTTTCCTCTCATTCTGATTGGCAATCGACAAACAGACCTACCATGGCGCATGCTCAAATCCTGATACTCAGATGGGGGCCTAAAACAAGGATTCCAGCGCTGTTTCGCACACGGACTTAACCAGAGTTTAGTTTTGTTTGTGGCGCAGGCTAAGTAAGACAGGTAAGGGCGGATTTCCAGGGTCTCGTAGCTTTTACGTTAATGCGCGACCTTTCATAAAATTATAATTTCCTCCATTTTATTCACCCACGTAAGTTGTACCCGTACAAGCACATAAAAACTACACGACAGTGGAAATGCACCCTTATTTTTCTCTTATTTTGTCTTTCTTTGGTTCTCCTTCCCCGGCCTCTTTCACTGGTATACTGTGGTATACTGTATGTAGTTACTTCCCATCACAATGAACAGATCGACGTTTTGTATAAACGGTTTGTGTTCTACACCACCTTAATTTAGATTTTATTACTCACAGGTATCTGCAAGGAATGTATGCCTTTGGTCTTGTAGAAACAAACTTTTACAAGGAGGCGGAAAAATATGCTCTTAAGGTAGAGTTTAAACCCCAAAGGCCCAGTTATTTAAACGGAGTTTAGCAAGTACTTAACAAAGCTGCGTTCTAAGCCATTTTCAGTGATTTGCTAACGCTTTTACACGATCTATCGTGAACAATTTCAGTAAAGCGAATAGCGTAGACTGGAAAAGCTATTTATTTAGTATGTAGTTCAAACTTTAAAGTCTGTCNGTAGAAACAAACTTTTACAAGGAGGCGGAAAAATATGCTCTTAAGGTAGAGTTTAAACCCCAAAGGCCCAGTTATTTAAACGGAGTTTAGCAAGTACTTAACAAAGCTGCGTTCTAAGCCATTTTCAGTGATTTGCTAACGCTTTTACACGATCTATCGTGAACAATTTCAGTAAAGCGAATAGCGTAGACTGGAAAAGCTATTTATTTAGTATGTAGTTCAAACTTTAAAGTCTGTCGATGAAATCCTATGGTATGACCATTCAAATGAAACCTCTTGAGTGGTACTCTCACGTGGTACTATTTATTTAGTTTGTAGTTCTAACTTTTGAGTCTGTGAATGAAATCCTATGGTGTGACCATTCAAATCATTGTAAAACCGCTTCAACAGTACTTCACATGGTACTATTTATTTAGTTTGTAGTTCTAACTTTTGAGTCGGGGATGAAATCCTATGGTATGACCATTCGAATGAAACCTCTCCAGTAGTACATTCACGCGGTACCATTTGTTTTGTTTTTTTTTTTCAGCATTTCCCAAATTAAATTAGGAAAAGTGTGTCGAATTTGACTTCGGTCACTTTCTACTGATTTATTGCCTTTGTCAATGCATTGTAGGCCTTGGAACTGAATCCAAAGGACTGTTGGAGCACTCATGCCGAAGCTCATGTGATCGAGATGGAGGGACGACAAGATGATGGGATCAAATTTCTTAGCAAGACAATAAATGACTGGACAGTACGATGGTTCTTCTTTATGCATTTACACTTGTTTATGATAAATAGTTGTTTAGCCTGGTTTTCACCTGCAACCAAGCCGTCGGGGACGTTTCTGGATACTCTTTGTCGCGAAACGCTGGGAAGAGTTGCGTACAAAGAGGGACAGAACTGGACTAGAGTCGTTAGTGATCCATTCAAAGCAGAGTGCCGATTCTGTATACGACTCCGTCACTTTCGATCTAGCGAAAACTAGACTGTCGTAGTCACAAGCAGAAAGGACAGACATTGTGATTGGTTTTAGTATATTTGCAATTCTGTTTATGCCCCTTCAGGCTACTTTTATAAGATTGTAAACGAGGGAGTCATTTGCGGAGGAAATGTTTTGATTCTTGCGTTTTTCCTGGAGCCTTGACAGAAAATCAAAAATGGGAGTCAGCAGCCGAACTATCATAGTTCGGCTTACGACTCCCATTTTCGATTTTCTGTCAGTCCTAAGTGCTCGCACGGTTCATCCGATTCCCTTGCTTATAAAAACCAATCGAAATATTGAAAGAATAAACTCTATTCCTTATTGATAGAGACCAATTAACATACTATCACCAGTTCTTCAACAGGATTGGCTGTAACATGCTTTTTATTTAATGGGCAAATGGACAGGAGAAGTCCTTACGTCACGTTGCCATGGTAGTAAAATTTTGGGGTCTCAACAAACCGTAGTCCTGCAAATATGTCAGAAAAAAAACGAAAAAATTTGACAAGTATGACTTTCTTATGATTAAACTCAAGAACAAAACGGTGGCCAATACTATTCTTCCATCGCTGGTCAATGGTAATGGCTGTCTCTGTCAAGAACGATTGTGGAGATAGAAATTTTGCTACCATGGTAATGTGACGTCACACTTCGATTCCCATTTTCCCTTTCATCTATTCAGCAACAGATTGCACTATACCATCCGAGTCGCATGGTAGCCACTGGCTTTCTTTGTTTTTCTTTTAGACTGGAGCAATGTTAGCTTGTCACAATTACTGGCACTGGGCTTTATACCACATCGAAAAGGTATATGCATTACTTGGGATATACTAACTGTGGAGGGTTGTTTTCGATGTCATTTTGAAAGAAAGAAGATAAGCATTTAAAATGATGTAATGGTGTTATTTTTCTTGCCCCACTTCGTCTCATGCTCTCTTGCAAGGAATTTTGCCCCACGTGAATGTTAAGCTGCAATTGGCTCTCAATTACACTCAAGATACACCACAGAGACACTGTTAAGGGACGCATGCGCGAAACTCACTTAAAAGCGCGTGTTGGCAAGCTAACAAACTAACTGTAATTTCCAAGTTATAACAACGTTTGTTTACAATGTTTTGTTTTTCAGGGTGAATATCAGGCTGCGGTAGATATATATGACGAGGAGGTACAGGACAATTTTAGCCCATAATAGTAGACAAATTAAACATCCTTTGTTCAATGCGATAAAAAGGTTTCATCGACAGGTTTCTCACCCGTAATTTCTGTTAATTTTGTTCATTTTTGTATTGTTTTTGAAAGCTGATATTTCCTTTTGTATTACAAGCAAAGAGCTAAAATGCATAAGAAACTAGTTACGAAAAATATACACGTCAGGTGTTGTAGTTCTTGTTTTTAATCTCTCATGTTGTTTTTTGCACGATTTTTTCTTTCTTTGCGTCAATTTTTGTACCAAACTAAACGAGGCTAAATAGGTAACCTGCATTGTCAGCAAAAAATTTCCACTTTACATTACGTTACATTACATTACAGACATTTTTTGAGCACATCCCCATCTTGGTCTTTTCAGTGATCAAATAGGATAATATGGAGTAAAAATTAAATACTATAGGTAAAACCTATTCACAGAAATCGAACAATTATATGCATTTGAATTGGATTAAAATAACTAACTACATACGATATAACTCATTATATACAATACAAATTATTCAACTCTAAAAATTAAATTATTGTTGATATAAAAGTTCGTTCGGAAGATGATTTTTTAAAGAAGAAAGCGGGATTCTTGCATAATTTCAAGCTTGAATCGAGCTTATTCCAGATAGATACCCCTCTACAGTAAAAGGTTCTCTGTCCCGTTGCATCTTTAAAAAAGAGAAATCTTTAGTTGTTGGAAGTTCCTGGTTGTGCGTCCAGATACGCTGCCTCTTGTAACGAACTTAGGTGTTAAGTATTCAGGCGCGTAAACCGTGGTACACTTTGTTTGTTTTTCTGTTTGTTTACGTGTCTTTTTCTTTGAACACGTTATTTCTGTCATTGCTGTTTAAGGTTGGCAAGCGCTGTCATTCCGGGGCCATGTTGGATTTGGTAGACGCCTCATCACTTCTTTACAGACTTCAAATGGAAGGTTGGTGTTACTGTGGCACACTCACTGCCATGGCGACAACAGCGACAACGTGATTTCTAATGTGGAGTCTACTCTCGCCTTTTGATGAATAGTCCTTTTCAACAGTGATATTCTTTATTTAATTTAATTTATAAGGCTTATCAAGCCTTAATATTAAGCTTCCAACTGTCCATATCAGTGGCCATTACCCTTTTTATGCAGGCTTGACTTTAGGTGATATAATAAGAATCCAGATAGTTTTGCCATTTTATGTCACGGCCCTCTAATACTGTCATTAGGCGTTGATGTTGGCAACCGCTGGAAGGAAATTTATCACCTCTGGGAGTCACATACAGATGATCATATCTTGGTAAGATCAATCGTCTGTTTACACTTATTTTAACCCATAGATTCATGTTCACACGAGCAAATTTGGACAAATTTAATTGCCCTTCTACACCACGCGGCATTTGTTGTTGTTGTTGTTGTTAGAACTAGTTTCCATAATCTCCAGAAATTACTACTTTTGTGAACAGTTGACACTTAAGAATAATGTGACAACCTTTTACATGCCTAGTCGTAGACACGATCCATCCTTTTTTTAAGTTATGGGAATCTTTTTGCG